TGGCATTCAAAAACCTGCAGTTACAGTATGGGAACAGTAAAACAAAATGGCGGTTTTACACATTTTTCGAGTTAATTCCTCTCTATACTAATCTATTCAATTTATAGGATTACTCGGCCCGTCCTGGAACGTGTTTGGCCCACCATAGCTTTGAACTTAGAGTTAATCTTTAAGGATAAGACGTAAAGGACGATTGTAAGAACAAAAATGAAAACAGAAAAATAATTTGTAGCTCCCTGTGATCCGGATCATTAATTTGATATTTCGTGATCGTATAGGGTGCAAGTTAGAGATGCAATTGAGTGCACTGGATGCCGGAGGGGGGAGGGGGGTGTAGGGTGAGGGCTCAGATTAATAATCTAGGGTGGGGGTAGGGGAAACACTTAAAGATGAACGAATATATTTCGCGGTATATTATTAATGTTCATTAGGTGTATAAAGATACATTAGCAGAAACACAGGGAATATATTTATATGTATAGATATATATTTACAAATACACGCTGTATTTGTTTTTATAATGTGATAACCAGAAAACAATTGAATAGGAAGACGACATCAAAGCAATTCTTAATTGTGATTGAAGCTGTTACAAAGCAAATAGTCATACAAGACACTTGAATTAGGTCTGTTTACACTGCACAATTACTGTGTCTCCTGCTCATAGGTGCATCTTGGTTCTAAAAGTCGTCTTTCTATTTTAGAGTTTTCTGGTTATCACTGTAAATCCATATTTAACACATTTATACATTCTTTTAGTTTTGAATTGCCGATTGTGTATTTTAAAATCTCCAGGATAATTTTCTTCAGTTAACAAGATTTTCGAAACAGATTTGTTCTTTCTTCAAATAATTTTGAAATTCTAGTTTATTTTAAGTTATCATTTATTTTAAATATTGATATTAGTCAGAAGATTACACAAACATTTCTAAAGTTTAACAATAACGTATTTCAAAATTGTATTTTCTAAAAGGAACTAAGTTTTTGCACCAAACTCAAATTTTCTCATCCTTATATCTTTTCAACCTTTGATTTTTCAAATATAGATTATTTGTTGTAACAAAATTCATAGTTTGAGGTCTACGATAATGAGTTGAAAAGATAAAATCATTAGAAAATTTAGAGTTTGTTACAAACATTCAGTACCTTTGCTTTAATTACACTATACAAAACCTTGAGTATTTTAGAAGATTTAAGTCTGAAAATTTATCAAGTTGTTTTTGAAAAATATATATTCTGCCGGAATAAAAATGTTGCCTTATTTCGTAAAAGAAAAGTTTTAGAGAATACAAATGTTTAAAGTTTTTTTTGTGAAGACTCGTAAAAGCCAAAAATTCTTGAATATCTAAAAAACGCATAATATCAATGCCTAACTCTATTTAAAGAGTTTCTAAAACAATATTAAGATTGAACCCTGAGTGCTAAACTGCAAAAGCATTTGGTTCAACCGTATTTGAGGTTTTTCAGCTCTAACAATTTGACAAGGTAAAAATATAAACCGAACTTTTTTGTGATATGTAATTTATTCAACAAATGAGACAAATATCAGAAAAATGCTCTAGCTGAAAAAAGAATATAAAACAAGAAAGCAGGATGTAATGTATGCTATCACTGTTGAGACACGAAGTAGAAAAAACATTACTTTGTTTTTCTTTTTTGTTTATTTTGAGATGAAACCAATAGGAGACCGACTCAAATAAACAATACATAGGTGTATTTAGTAACAAATACCGCGGGAAAATAGTGAAACCAATCAAAGGTTCATTAAAGAAACCAACCAAAGGTTCATGAGTGGAAACCAATTAAAGGTTTATGAATGGAAACCGACCAAAGGTTCACGTACGAAAACCAACCATAGGTTCAGGAATGCAAACCAACCAAAGGTTCAAAGGTTTATAAATGGAAAACAGCCAAAAGTTCAGGAATGAAAACCAACCATAGGTTCAGTAATTGAAACCAACCAAAGGTTCAGGAATATAAACTAAAGGTTCAGGAATATAAACTAAAGGTTCAGGAATATAAACTAAAGGTTCATGAAAGAAACCACCAAAAGGTTCGTGAATGGAAACCAATCAGAAGTTCATTAATGAAAATCAAAAAAAGATTCAGAAACAGAAACAAATTAAAGGTTTAAAATGGAAACCAACCAAAGATTCAGGATTGAAAACTAAAGGTTCATGAAAGAAACCAATCAAAGGTTAATGAATGGATACCATCCAAAGGTTCATAAATGGAAACTTACCAAAGGATTAAGAATGAAAACCAACCAAAGGTTCATGAAGGGAAGCCAACCTAAGGATCATGAATTGAAACCAACCAAAGGTTCATGAATGGAAACCAATCAAAGGTTCATAAATGTAAGCCATCCAAAGGTTGGTTTATAAATGGAAACCAACCAAAAGTTCATGAATGGAAACCAACCAAAGATTTATGAATGTAAGCCATTCAAAGGTTCATGAATGGAAACCAACCAAAGGTTCATGAAAGAAAACCAACCAAAGGTTCATACATGGAACCAACAAAAAGTTCGTGAATGGAAACCAATCAAAGTTCATGAATTGAAACCGACCATAAGGAATAGTAGGTATAGTAGGTTTAAGGGTGCAATTGTTAATTTGAAGGTTTAATTTTAATTTCTATAAAGTCCCTTGAAACACTTGCTATTTATTCAATATGCAATGAGACAAATTCATTATAAAAAATAACAAATTGAAAACGAGCTAAAACTAGTTTATTACAAGTTACTTATTTATCCGCTGAGAAAATTGTTTTCTAGTATCCATTTTTTGGATCCTTATATCTAAGACTTGTCGTAATATCCCTTCCCGTAGATAATGTTACCATTGTTATGTTTCAATCAAACGTCCGGTTAGACATTTTAGGCCATCCCACTCTGCATAGACATTTATACACATAGACATATAGACATATATACGAACAGACACATAGACATATAGAAATATAGACATATAAACATTTAGACATAGCGACATATAGACATATTGACATATCGACATATAGACATATAGACATATAGACATATAGACATATAGACATATAGACATATAGACATATAGACTTATTAGAATTATTAAGAATTCGAAACAGGAATGAAATAAAGAAGGAAAAAAGGGAGAAAATTGGCATAAAATCTATTTTTTGTGTAAAAGATTATTTTTTCTTGGATTTAAAGGAAAAGTGGGTGCTTCCTGAAATAAGTTATTTGGGAATTCTTATTTCTATCCTGTCTTGTGAAATTATAGGGTTTAAATGGTTTTTTTTGTATTTTGAGAAGCTTAATCTTTTCCCTTCTTTTATTAGATTAATGATTCAAATGAACCATCGGACAGCAAAAAGTAACATTGAGATTTAAAAATATTCAGTAATACATTTAATTACTTTTTAACTCAAATCTATACATCTTATACCTCCAGTTTTTGGTTTGATGAAAATACCTTCTCAAAAACATAATGCAAAACATGCAAAATATCTATCTTAAAAAACTATAATGTGTGATAAGTTAAAAATCTAGTTTTTTAGTCTTAAGTCATTAATTTTGACCCTTTTTGATCTTTTAAAAACAACATTTTTTTTGCAAGCGCCGCGCTCTCTATCTACGACACAGAAAATAGCCATATAGACTTATGGACATATATAATCATTAAAATATTGACACATGGAAATATAGACACACGGACATATGACACATGGATATATAAACACATGGAAATATAAACACATGGACATATGACACATGGATATATAGACAAATAGAAATATTATTACATGGAAATATAGACACATGGACATACGACACATGGACATATGACACATGGATATATAGACACATGGACATATTATTACATGGATATATAGACACATGGACATATTATTACATGGATATATAGACAAATGGACATATAGACACTCTGGTTCATTTGAAGTACCAGGCCAACTGTACTAGCTAGAACAAACTGTACACTACAATTACAGACTATGTAAGGCAAATTTATGTGATACATTTAGATACATACACATATAGACACATAGACATATAGACACGTAGACATATATACGTAGACATAGACATACAGGCATAGATATATAGACATAGACATATAGTCATGGACATATAGACATAGAAAAATAGACATAGACACATAGACTTATATACGTAGACATAGACATACAGGCATAGATATATAGACATAGACATATAGTCATGGACATATAGACATAGAAAAATAGACATAGACATATATACATAGACATGTAGACATAGACATAGACATATAGACATAGACATATAAACATAGACATATAAACATAGACATATAGACATACACATTTAGACATAGACATATAGACATAGATATATAGACATAGACATATAGACATAGACATATATACATAGACATATAGACATAGACATATAGACATAGACATATAGACATAGACATATAGACATAAACATATAGACATAGACATATAGACATTGACATATAGACATAGATATATAGACATAGACATATAGACATAGACATATAGACATTGACATATAAACATAGACATATAGACATAGACATTTAGACATAGACATATAGACGTAGACATATAGACATAGACATATAGACATAGAAATATAGACACAGACATAGACATATAGACATAGACATATAGACATAGACATATAGACATAGACATATAGACATAGACATATAGACATAGAAATATAGACATAGACATATAGACATAGACATATAGACATAGACATNTTTCCTTCTCCTCTTTATTGAAAAGATTCTTCAGATTATGTGTCATGGGCCGGGTAGAGGGGGCAAGTGTAGTGCCTCCAATCCCATTAAATCCTTAAAAAATTTCCTTGATACATGTGTTCTCCCCCCTGGAATTTTGATAACTCTGCGGCCCTGAGGTTAACTATCTAGAGTACATTGCGTACAAATATAAAAAATGTACAGTGTACACAAACAAGTTTGAATTTGACACATCTGTTTCAGTACACTGTACACGGTTAATTGGTACGGTAGTGTAGTGACGGTTTGGTAAAAAAACTTCTTAATCTTTTTGAGGTGTAATTAAAGGTAATGAATATATTTTTTATTAAGATGTCTTTTGGCGCCTCTTTTAGACTATTTTCTCGGGTCTGTCCTAGTGAACGATTTTTGGACCCCCCCATATTATTATCAATATTATTATCAATATTTTGATCGATGTTTGTCAGATCATAACTCATGAACCCGCTTTACCTCAAATTTAATCGATGTTTGTCTGATAAGATCTCCTGAGCCCGCTTTACTTTAAATTTAAATTGGAGGTTTAACATGTTAAAAAATCATTAAAATTCAAACATTTTTTTTATTTGTTTTGGGATAAGTTAACAATATGAAATAGTTAATCTTAGCTGCTCATTGGAATGAATAATCAATTTTTCTGAGGAAGTTTTTTATTTATTTGAATTAAAATGGATTGAAAAAAAATTAATAATGTTCTTTTAGGAATTCTGTGGCGCCATGATTCTATATGGCGCCAACATATCTACTGGCGCCGGTCAGCTGGGTGGAAGATTGATATTTCTTCTATTCATGTTTTCTATTACAAGGGACAATTTGTTCATCTTCGTTTCTTGTCAAAACTGCTTTATTTGACTAGAGCTGACAACTTCTGTGTTTTTAATCTTGGGATTAAGTATTTTATCGACATCTGTTGCAGATTTAATTCCTCTGTGATATCCCGTGATGGTTTTAGTTACATTTGCCACAATACTTACGCCTTAAATTCATTTGCCATTATAACACTTTCCATAAATACTTTTGCCATAAGTAACACTTGTAATTGTGGTAAATGTATTTATGACAAATATTACTGAGCCTAACCTGAAGGGACAAATTTACTAGAGGGATTAAGTATTGATCCTCTAATTTATAAGTTCCCACATTGGATATCGAGATCAAACGTTCAAGATTAATTATCTCTACACACAAGTTTTAACTATTATTAATTATTGACTGTTGGGGTTATAATAAGATAGTAAAATGTTTTCTAGTTCAAACTCATTTTTTTTATCTTGTACCAGTACAGAGGGGTGGGGGGGGGGGGGGGGAATGGGTGGATCTGGAGTTTAACACTTATTCCTCTGTTATAATAACAATTAAGTGAAAAGTACTTGATTTTTGCAGATTTCTATATTCTCTATACTCTGGGGTTGCAGCGTATATATAAACCTAACTTGACCATATTCACTTGCAGTTCAAAGAACTTATTGGATTCAACATTTTAATTTTAGAATTTGAACAAACCCTTGTTTATCAGAGTTATGAGCGCGGAAGAATACTTCAACAGAACTGATCTTCATCAGCGTAAAGTTGCAGATCAAGTAAAACAAGATGTAAGTATTTTTGGATTCAAATCTAACGTTTTTTAATAATTGGGTTCTATGCAGTAATTATCATTATGAACGGATACAGAATTTCAGTGGGAGGGGGGGGGGGGCTAAACAGGTACCAACGCACTTCCCCCCCCCTGTGGCCGCCCTGTATGATTTTAGCTTTCAATTATAATCCCTTTTTTAATAGCTGAGGTTTCATGAAATTAACAGAGGCCGAATTTAAAGAATCTAAGCCACGCACGGCTCAAATATGGTTGGTTCCACTTAAGATTGTATTCAATTTTTCTAAATTCAAGGCGGCGCTCAATTAAAACAGGTTTTTTGGGGATTTGAGACGCGGCTTGAATTAATTAAATTCGGACTCAGGAAGGAGTATTAGAACTAGTTTCGACAAGTTCTCGAGTGCCCACTTGGCCATGCACTTGTTCGATTATTAGATAAACTACTCCTAGTTATTCAGTGATTCTAACCTCTAGATCCGAATTGGCAAACAAAGCTGATCCGGATCACGTAGCCCAGACTCTTTGAACACTAGGCTAAGAGAATCTCATGGATCAGACGACGACACTTATAAAAAATTAGCGGTTTTAAGTTTGGATGACTGTCCTTTGAACTACTGATCTTATGAACTATTGAAAATTTGAAAAAATTGTTGATATTCATGACAGAACAGGCATGTTTTTTTGTAGTATAGTAGTTAAAATAATTTTTCTGTTTATTCGCTAATTTTAATTGTTTTCATTTTAGCTATTTATATTCTGAATTCATGCCAAATAATTGATTCAAATGAGCACCACGGATTTACCTCAAATGTTTTCTTATAAAGTAAAGTCTAGTTGAACTTGAATCCTGAATATCTTTGCTAAGTCTGGATGACTTGGGATCCATTAAGCTAAAATAGTTTTGATCCGGTTTTTAAGAACCATGTCCTCGAAAGAAAGCTTGTTTTTGTAATCAACCCTTATCAATTATCTTAGTGTTAACTTTGAGGTGAAGTTTTTCGCGTTGATAATTCTAAAAAATTCTGAAAAAAAGGGCCTGTACACATGGCACACATTGCAATGTACGTTTATTTAATGTTTTTTAACTGTATTTTGTGTAATGTTTCTTTTAAGATTACATTTCTTATTAAAAAAAAAACGCTTTACAAATTGCCGAGATAGTATGATTTTAGATTTTTTAAAATTAGAGCGGAAAGTGCACACATGACAAATTTAGGTTTTAGGCTGGACTGATAATTTCCCTGAACATCTTTTTGGATATTAAAAGTATAGGATTAGACGATTTCAAAACATGTTTTAAACAAATTTGATGAGTAGCTGTTTTTGAGAAAATGAGGTTTGAAATATTGGCCTAAAAGGGGACGGAAAACTGCAAAAGTTGATAATCATCGAATCTTTAAATTATCAGTGAAACTTAAAACCTAAATTTGTCATGTGAAAGTGAAAGTGGTTTATAATATTTCACCTGTTGTTTCAGAAAAACGTTTTTTTTACATTTGTTAAATAACATGGACAAAACAACATGGACAAAACAATATGGACAAAACAACATAGACAAAACAACATGGACAAAACAACATGGACAAAACAACATGGACAAAACAACATGGACAAAACAACATGGACAAAACAACATGGACAAAACAACATGGACAAAACAACATGGACAAAACAACATGGACAAAACAACATGGACAAAACAACATGGACAAAACAACATGGACAAAACAACAGGGACAAAACAACATGGACAAAACAACATGGACAAAACAACAGGGACAAAACAACAGGGACAAAACAACATGGACAAAACAACATGGACAAAACTTGTAACTAACAGGTTGAGAAAAATAATGAGCTTATAACTTTGAAAATAAGTTATTAAAATTCATTTTAAAATCTAGCAGGTTTATGCAAATAATTTCAGCAAAGGTAATAATGATAATGAAATAATCGATTCCACGGTTCCACTATTGCCTTTAATCCAAAATTTCTTTTAGAAATATCTTCCTAAATAGGAAATTAGTCTTTACAATCATTTATCTGTTTTTTTTCGGGTTATTAAATAATGGTAAGAAACGTTTCTTCTCTTGTCGGAAACAACTGAGCTGAAAACTTTAGAATGAAATATCCAGATATCCCGTCGAATAATTAATCTGAAGTTTAAAATCATGCAGAGTTACTGCAATATTTAATCTCGAAATTTATGAAAGTATGAGATTTATGATATCCACCATTCTAAAGTTTTCAGCTCTGGTGAAATATTTCAACAACTTTACGCCATAGATAAAGATAGATTGCGCATAAGACGACATTTTTCATCTTGAAAGATATAAATGTACAGAGATGTTTAAAAGATATTCCTATTATATAGATTAACTAGGTCGGTTGTGAACATTGGCTGTTCTTGTGTCATTGTGTACTTGTGGTGTACATGAGTTCTGTAGAGAGAAATTTATGTTAGTTTGGTCCTTCTCATGTCCTTCTTCAGTTCTCGTCAATATGATATGTTGCTCAGTGAAATATTGTTGTTCAAATAGTTCCATTCCCGGAGTTATTTTACACTATATTATAAAATCCATTAAAACACCAAACCACCCCACTTATCATTGAAGTACACTTTCACTCCTTCAAGTATGAGTTCGCGGACTGTACAATTCTTGGTGATTTTTCGTACATAAGCTATCTATGTTTATTTATTTGTCTAAGCTTTACTCTCGTTAAAATGTTTTTTACAATATTTCTCTACAATACTGTATTTTCAGCTCAACTACCATGCCTATCCGGCCTCTAACTTTATAGAGGCACATGCCCAATTTACAACTGCAAGATAACGGTTGGGAATCCTGACTGTTGCTAATAATGGGTCCACAACATTTCAAAATGCATTTTACCATTTATATTTTTCATTGTCAGGCTGACTTCCGAAAGCTGTTAAAATCTGAAATGAAGGAAGAAAACTTGAATTTGAAAACTCGGATAAGGCGCCAAGGTAAAAATCTAAACTTCAAATATAATTTTGTCTTTCCTTTTCTCTCCAATTTCTAAAGACGTGTGAATTTTTTTTTATGTCAAGTTTAGCCAGTTTTTGGTCTTTTTAAAAATAGAAATAGGCGGTCGTTTAGATTTGAAGGAAATAGATCCTTTGTCTGAAATGATGCATACTACGGAACAGGAAAATATTGTTGAATATCTTGAAGCTAAGAGCTCGGAAATTCTAAACATGATTGATAGAAAAGCATTTATAATGAAAACACGGCTTCTAGCAGTCAAAGAAAACTGTTTTGAATTCCTTAGCATGCAGATTGGACCAACATTATCCAGGGTTGCTTCTTCAAGTGGAAGCACGTCAAGCCTTAGTCTTCTGATAAGACAGAGTGAAGGATATATGAAGGGTCAGCTTCATCATTGCAATAGTCAGGAGACGTCACTTTACGATGAAATATTCGACTTACTTGATGCTGCACACCTTTTTATTCAACCATTTTATGATTCAGCTGGAATTCAAGTCTTGTGCAAGACTTTTATAAATAATGTGGCCTTCAGAGAATCTGCATTGGAGCAAACTTTTTATCTGGAAAAAATTTATCGTAAAAATATGGAAATGGCGCGGAAAATAATAGACTCTGCTCAGCAAGATGTGGAGGATAGAATACAGGCACTGATATATAGTCTACGCATGAAGGTTCGTATGTATAGAAGCAGTCTTCAACAAGGGGATAGAAACGGTCAGAAGTTTAGGTACGCCATGATTTTTGAAGGAAGTTTGATCAGTGCTGGCAGTGGGTTCACACCTCAGCTAAGGGGTAAGCTACTAAATAATGTTCAGCTTCTAGTTAATAAATGCGATGAAACAAGCCTACAGCTCAAACATTGCCTCGAGGAGGAAATTAAAAAGAGAGATATTGGAATCAATTCAAGAATTATGGAATTACAAAGCTTGAAAATAGGTAATTTTCTCAAACGTTTTACCATTTTTCCCCCTTTTTTTGTAGCATTTTGAGTCAAAAATAAAAGACAGTCGGCTTTTTCATAATTGAATTCGATAAGAAATGATTTTAATCTCTGATGTTTCTGTAAAGAGAAATGAGAAGCCAGTTCATTATTATTAATTAACAAAGAGAACAAATGTTTTCTAAAAATTAAGATATTTTAAATATATGATTTCCAAAACTTTGTTCAAAAGTAGTGACAGGCAATGTATGGTAGTTGAACTAAGATTGCAGTAACATTTTTTAGGGTTCATTTGAGACCTATCAAGACGTTTTTACGGTGAATATTTGTTCAGTAAGACCGCAAATGCAATCTTTACAATCCTCATAGATTGTCCATTTTGGAGGGGTGATTTTAAGATTCGTTTATTTAAATTATTTAATGACTTCCACGAAAAATGTAGCAAAACATCCACAGTATACAAAGAAGTTGTTTTGGAACAGGCTGAAAAAATAAAAATTAACTTTTATAAATGAAAAAAAGTAATCTTATTCAGTTATTGGTTTCTTTAATGCAGTGTTTCGGATCCATATCATTTTGATTCGGATCCGGATCCGCGGATCCGCATCCGTGATGATGGATCCGGATCCGGATAAGGATCCGAGGTAACTTTTGATTCTGTGAATCGGATTTTCCCTATTAAATGTTATGCAAGGTTATAATTTATAAACTATAGTAATCCTAAAGTTAAAAATGTCGTCATTACTATTATAAAAATGTAAACATTAAATTATTAAAGATAATTTTGAAAAATTTTCGTCATGTAAATATTACATTTACGAACCATTTTGATTTATTTATTCCATGGTTTTGGTTAATTTTTGGCGCTACCCGGATCCATATCAACGTTTCCTGATACGGATCCGGATCCGACCAAATGATACGGATCCGACCGGATCCGGATCCGGATCCGAAACACTGCTTTAATGTCTCATTATTAAAACCCATTTTTCTGTAGATTTTCGGGAATTTTTAATGTAAAGTCGACATTTGAAGAATTTGAAGAAATCTGCGAACAAATTCATAAAGAATAAGAAAATGATAATATTGATGAAAAAGAAACCATTGATTCTAACATTTATTTATTGACAAATTTCTAATGAGAAATATGTTCCTAAACATTTAATCAGTTTACTTTAGAAATTTTGATACATTTTTCTTCGTCGTTTTTGAATAATATTTAAAACCGATGCTCAAAACCATTCCCCCATTCCTCAATAAGGATTTAAAATATTGAATTTCCTCTCTTGCTAAACAAATATTCAACGTAAAAACGTCTGATAGGTCTCAAATGAATTTTTAAAAAATTGTCAATAATATTGCAATCTTAGTTCAACCATTGCCGGTCACTCCCTTTAACAGAAACAAAAATTAATGAAAATCAAATTATATTCTGATTAATCCTCAATCCCATTTTATTTTTCACAATATTTTAATTTTATTTAGATTTTTTTATTTACACTTGTTAAAGCTGAAGTCGATGTTATTCTAAGTTACCCCCCAATGAAAGAGTTGCATGTCCGATTCATATCAGTACTGTTTAAACATTTATGCTTCTATCAACCAAGAAGATTTCTATTTTAAAATAAATGAATTCTTCAGTATGTTTTTTTCTTTTTCCAATAAACCCTGAAGGGGACACATGAATAATTTTGACTTAACTTAAACTGTTATCACATTGACAGTGCTTTTGCTACGAAAAAAACTTAGATTTAAAATTAGCCTATATTTGGATTGTACAAATATGGACCTGTTATGGAAGTTCTTGCAAGGCTGGGCCCTAAAAAAAAATGTTGATCCTTTTTTTTCCACGAGACTTCTGCTTAAAATCTGAATGTACTTCTGTAACTGGAAGTTTTCAAAATAATTGAGAGGGCTAGACAACTAAGATTTTTTTACTAATTTTTGTGCTTTGTCTTAATAATTGAGTTAGTGAATCGAACAGTATTTAAGATCTCTACCCTTTATAATTTTTATTAATAAATAGGAAAGAGACACTTGTCAAAATGTTATTATTGCCAAAAACATCAGATCCTAAATTTTCTTTTTTCTAAATGTTAAACGGCCGAATGGACGATGTATGTAAAATTTCAGCATCATACATTAACATTCATAGGGTTTTAGCTCAGCCTGGTTTGAACTTGGAATAGCCTGGACCTCTTTACATTATGCTTTCTTAATGCCTTAAACTCTCTCAAAGCTGGTGGTTTCCAACCCTGTGTTCCAGTATTTCAGTCATTCTTCCAAAAATTATTTTGAAGCATCGCCTTTTTTGAAAAAATAGCAGTTGCTTTAAATTTGTAAGGTACATTGCCAGCGGCAAGTTAACAGCGTAAGATTCCCATGTATCAACTTGCCGGGTGGCTTTTTGACATTTGACAACTTTGCCAAGTGACACAGTTGTTAGGCAACACTTTGCCAGTTGACACTATGCTATATGCATAGTTGCCAGGTAACCATAGTCAGGTAAACTTTTCAAGGTGACAATTTGCCAGTTGACCATTTTGCCAGTTGACCATTTGCCAGATGACCATTTGCCAGATGACCATTTGCCAGATGACTATTGTGCCGCTTGACAATTTTGCCAGTTGAAAAATTTTGCCAGTTGACAACTTCCCAGTTTACAACTTCGCCAGTTTACAACTTCGCCAGTTTACAACTTCGCCAGTTTACAATTTTGCTAGTTTACAATTTGCCAGTTGACAATTTGCCAGGTGGCTATTTGCCAGTTGACAATTTAACCAGTTATCAATTTGCTAGTTGGTACTTCTTTGCCATTTAGAAATTTCAAATGGTTTTTGATTTGAACTAATTAACGGTAATTAAAGAATATCAATATCTACAGTAGGAAAAAGAAAATTATGATATTAAATGGTCCAAACTAAGAAATAAAAAACCAAGATTTTTGCAGTGTACACTGTTCACTACAGTGTACACAGACCCATTTTGCTTATTTTATTGATTTAAGGTATTGGTAATCATAGTTACTTAACATTAACATCAAATACACATAAGATTGCTTAAATGCCGTCTCCCTATTCTACAGTTTAAGGGGTTCCACTGTAATGAAAAATAAAATACAAAAACAGAATATTGAAAATTGGTGTAGATTATTAAATATGTTCTATGTAATTGTATAATTACATAGAACAGGCTCAGTTACATTTCATTATATACACTCCAAGTAATTAAACTTGCTAGGATTATGCTTCCTACTTCCCCTATAGTTATACTTTCCATAGTTTCACTTCCTATAATTACACTTTCCATAGTTACACTTCCTATAATTACACTTTCCATAGTTACACTTCCTATAATTACACTTTCCATAGTTACACTTCCTATAATTACACTTCCTATAGTTACACCTCCAATAATTACACTTTCCATAGTTACACTTCGTATAATTAAACTTTCCATTGTTACAATTTCTTTAATTACACGTTCTATAGTTACACTTTTTATAATTACACTTTCTGTAGTTACACTTCCTATTATCAAATGTGCCAAATTTTACCATTACCTGAAATTATGTATTAATCTAACATTCATGTAGCCGCAATGCTTGGCCCACTAGCCTGTTATAGCCTCGGCACTTGGCCCAGAAATTGTATTAACCCAACCTAACCCAAGATAAGCACATTATTATATATTTTTTAGGAGACTGTAGTGCTCGGTCCCCTTTCCAATTCTAGCTCCTTGGTCCATAAATTATCTTGACCTTACCTAACTCAACGTAATTTATAATTAAAGAAATGTAACCTTGTAGGAAATGTAACCTTATAGGAAATTTAACCTTATAGGAAATGTATCTTTATAGCTCTGCAGCTAGTTAATTATAAGAGGCCCTTGTCACCTGGAAAAGTGTTTTTTGGCAAATTAATAAGTGGCATAGTGTTAACTGGCTATGTGTAACTGGCAAATATGTCAACTGGCAAAATGGTCAACTGACAAAATGGTAAAATGATTAACTGGCAAAATGTTCAATTGGCAAAATGTTCAACTGGCAAAATGTTCAATTGGCAAAATGTTCAATTGGCAAAATGTTCAATTGGCAAAATGTTCAACTGGCAAAATGTTCAACTGGCAAAATGTTCAACTGGCAAAATGTTCAATTGGCAAAATGGTCAACTGTTAAAATGGTCAAGTGGCATACTTGGTACATAGCAAACTTGTTACATGGCAAACTTGTTACATGGCAAACTTGTTACATGGCAAACTTGTTACATGGCAAACTTGTTACATGGCAAACTTGTTACATGGCAAACTTGTTACTGGCAAACTTGTTAACTGGTAAAGTGTCCCATGGTAAAGTTGTTACATCTAAGCAAAGTTCTGTCTGGCAAATTGTAAGTTGTACTTGGCAACTCGCCCAATCATCTGGCATTAAGTGCCTAACATCCTAATAAAGCCTTTGATCTGAGAGGACAGGAAATTCTATAGGCAGGACATTTCATAATTGAATGAAATTCATGGATAAGGTCAATTATTTTAAGTTTAGAATTGGGAGATTACTTTTAATTTTTACAAAAACGGGCATTTACCATTTCCATCAAATATAGAAGTAATGTCTTTTTTATTTATGAAATGTCATTATCTTTTAACTGTCTGAGCTATGTAAGGTCTGATCTATGAAGTCCTAGCTGTAAAATGTCCTGTCTAATTTATTCAAATTTCTATTTCTGAAATGCCTTATATTGAAGTTTCTTTCCAAAATGTCCGAAAACTAAAAATTGTAATTATGTGTCAGGACCTGCAGTAGTGTCAGATCCAGTTAAAATGGCAAATATCTCCTTATCATATTTGGATACATTATCATCCACTAGAAATGTGTTGTCATCAACCATGTTAGCTGAACTTGAAACTACAACTGAACCTGAACCCCAAGTATTATCTGTTTTTCAGTCTTCAACAACAGCTTTAGTTATACCTAACAAAACTGAACCCATCATGATGATGACCACTAGAGCCAAACCTGTAACATTCACTGAAGCTGATCACCTATCAACCACTGAAGCTGAACCCATAACAAAAGTTTTGTCATCAACCATGGTAGCTGAACTTGAAACTACAACTGAACCTGAACCCCAAGTATTATCTGTTTTTCAGTCTTCAACAACAACTTTAGTTATACCTAATGAAACTGAACCCATCATGATGACCACTAGAGCCGAACCTGTAACAACCACTGAAGCTGATCACCTATCAACCACTGAAGCTGAACCCATAACAAATGTTTTGTCATCAACCATGGTAGCTGAACTTGATACTGCAACTGAACCTAAACCCCTAGAATTATCTGTTTCTCATTCTTCAACAACAACTATACCTAATGAAACGGAACTTATCATGATGACCACTAGAGCCAATTCTGTAACAACCACTGAAGCTGATCACCCATCAACCACTGAAGCTGAATCCACTAAAAATGTTTTTTCATCAACCATGGTAGCTGAACTTAAAACTACAACTGAACCTGAACCCCTAGAAACATTTGTTTCTCAGTCTTCAACAACAACTTTAGTTATACCTAATGAAACTGAACCTTTCATGATGACCACTAGAGCCAATTCTGTAACAACCACTGAAGCTGATCACCCATCAACCACTGAAGCTGAACCCACTAAAAATGTTTTGTCATCAACCATGTTAGCTGAACTTGGAACTACAACTGAACCTGAACCCCTAGAATTATCTGTTTCTCAGTCTTCAACAACAACTTTAGTTATACCTAATGAAACTGAACCCATCTTGATGACCACTAGGGCCGAACCTGTAACAACCACTGAAGCTGATCAACCATCAACCACTGAAGCTGAACCCATAACAACCATTAATAATAAACCCATTATAACCATTGAAGCTGAACTCTTAACAAACCTCAAATATGAACCCATTGTAAAAACTTCTGAAGCTGAACCCATCGTAATAACTACTGAAGCTGAACAAAAAGTAAAAACTAATCAAACTGAACTTATAGTAATAACTACTGAAGCTGAACCTATAGTAATAACTACTGAAGCTGAACCCATAGTAAGAACTACTGAAGCTGAACCAATAGTAACAACTGAAGCTAAGATCCTAATAATCACTGAAACTGAAACTCTAACAACCACTGAATCTGAAACTCTAACAACCACTGAATCTGAAAGCCTAACAACCACAGTATCTGAAATCCAAACAACCACTACAGCTGAAACCCTGACAACCAATGAAGCTGAACCAATAAAAACAACTGAAGCTGAGTCATTAACATCAACTAAAGGTGAACTTTTAGGAATAACTGAAGTTGGACCAATAGAAATGACCACTAAAGCCAAACCAGTAACAATCACTGATGCTGAACCCATAATATCCACTGAAGCTCATCTAACAACTGAAGCTGAACCCATGGTAATAACCATTAAAACAAATGGAGCTGAATACCTAGAGATAACTAAAGCTGAATCCTCACTAATAACTGAAGTTGACCCCTTAAATACCACCAAAGCTTCAACCATTAAAGCTTTACCCCCAACAACCACTGACGCTCCACCTCAATTAACCATTGAAGCTCAGCCCCCATCAACCATTGAAGCTCAATTTCAATTCCTAACAACTACTAAATCCAAAACCCTAACAACCACTAAAGCTGAGCCTCTAATAATAACTGGCGCTTACCCTCAAAAAACTGAAGGTGAACTACTAAATACCACAAAAGTTGAATCTATAACAACCACTGAAGCTGAGCCTCTAACAACAACTGAAGCTGATCCTCAAACAACTGAAGGTGAACTTGTAACCACCACAGAAGCTGAACTCCTAAAAAGCAAAGACAAAGCTCTAACAACTAAAGGTGAGCTTCTAACAACCAATGAAGGTGATTCCCTTTCACTCACAGAAGCTCAATCCCTTTTATCCATTGCTTTATCAACAACTGGAGCCAAATCCCTAACAATAACTGAAGCTATATCCTTGATAATGACTGAAGCCAAACCACTAGTAACAATGGAAGTGGAAACGCTTACAACCATTGAAGTTGAATCCCTTTCAACCTCTGAAGCTCAGCCACCATCAAATACTAAAGTTCTTGTAACAACCACTGAAAATCTCCCAACAACCACTGAAGCTCAGCCCCCATCAACCATTGGAGCTCAGCCCCCATCATTCATTGATGCTTTAACTCTAGCAAACATTAAAGCTTCACTCCAAACAACCACTGAGGATGAACTACTGTTAACCACTGGAGCCATAACCCAAAAAAACACTAAGCCCACAATACCCATGAAAGCTGAAGAAAATCAAATCAAAACATTCACAATTTACAAAGATGAACCACTGAAAACCGGGGGTGCTGAACTTCCTGCAAAATCTTGGTTTCAAGATACATTTGCAAATAGACTTATTCCAATGTCATTGTCACCCTATAAACATTTTCCGAGCGCAAGGTTAAACCTAGAAAATGCTGTTCGCACTAAATCTATGGAACGAGTTAAAGTAATCATTGATCGGTTCCCTGTTGATGCACCTAATAAAAGATTCCTTGAGGAAATTGAGCCCAAAATCATATCCCCAGAACTCTCATCTGGTCCTGCAAAAACTGTAGATTTGTTTAACCGGGATGCTCCACCTAACAAAACCAATAAAATGAAAGAATCAAATACCAGTTTTTCGTTTTTGCCTGTTACTGCTGTGCAAGTAAAGAACCCTCTCGACAACAGTGTTTCTACATCAACAGAATCTTTGTCAAGTAAGCATATTAAAGAACCTTCAATAACTAGATCTACATATCATCATCAATCAAGTGATGTCAAGTCAAAATCTATCAAATTTGCTGATAATCAAGGCATCAGTGATGCAACAGTTGCTGGAATAAATGAGTCGGGTACTTTTGCTGCTGTCAATGCTTCAGAAGCTAAAAGCGAAGTGGAGAGAACACATGCTGATCTTGTTTCCAAAGGTTCAGGTGTTTAGCTCTTCTATACTTCATTCAGGATGGAAATTCATATCAGTAAAATTTTCTGGACTCATTCATTTTTACATTATTTACTTTAAATTACATTAAATATTTTCCTTCTCACTCATTGAAATTATTTTTAACATCAAAAGTTTAAAAAAATGTAAATTTCCCACCAAGTCATTTAAGTTAAATTCTATTGGGTAACTAAAGATGGGCGTTTCAGGCTTTTTCCCATTTCATATGTTTAATGTTTTTGATTTCGTGCATTTTAAAGATATTGTTCAATTTTCATCTATTTCGTTCGTTTTTTCAGTTAATGCTTTTTCATTAAAATTGTTTTCCATTAATATCGTTCGTTCAGTAAAATCGCTTGTTTAGTAAAATCGCTCGTTAGTAAAACTTGTTTGTTCAATAAAATCCTTTGTTCAGCAAAAAACAATTGTTGGAAATATTGTTTGGCTAGTAAAAAAAACGATCTTCTGAAAAATTCGGTCATTAAGAAAAATTTAATCGTTTTTCAAGTTCATTCAAATGATTTATATCATTAGCTTTTTTCGTTCATTTTAAAAAATCGTTTATTATTTCTCTGAACAATCCAAGTCGTTCATCCCTCATATTCATTGGCAATCTTTCTTAACCTCACATGACCTGGAATAGTATAATCATGTAAGGACCCCCTTCAATGTTCAAATAAAAAGTAATAAGACCTTGACACGTTCAAACTCTTTCCTCAGGAATTACGCGCAATAATAATAAATTACACTATTTATTTGGGGTTTGACATGGTAACTTCACATTTTTTGTCCTTGGCATGTTCTAGCATTGAAGTTCAAGCTAACAAAAATTCTGTTTTTTTAAGATGTCGGGGCTACTGATAGAATTGGATCATCACTTAATGTCACAGCAGGAGCTAAAGTTAAAAAAACTACTAAATCAATAGGTAAGCTTAATCATGTTCTTAATGTTGAGTATTATTATCAGAATTCTAAAATCTTTGAGACATACGTTTTTTTGGCACTTTTCTGCTTGCAAATTAACATTGGCGTTCACATTGCACTAAACCATTATGGTGCAAGGTAATATTTGTTGCAAAAATTGGAGTACAAAATATTGCAAAATTTGCCTCTTAAAATATTGCGGCATCTTTTGCAATATCTCTGCTGAATAAAGACAATGTTAAAATATTTAAATACTAATTATGGGGAGAGAGGGGGTTCAATAATAAGCTGTTGAAGAGAACGTAATTCTAAAAAATTAACAAGTTCAGTTTTAACCTTTCTTCTAGAAATTATAAAGGTCATGTATTAATATGGGAAACCTGTTAGTTCAAAGTTGTTTTATATATGATCGTCCAGTTTGATAAAGATTGATCCAAACTGTGGAGAACAATTTGGTCGTTCACATAAGGGGTGGGCCCATGTTCAGTACCTTTCAGAACGATTTAAGAATTAAACTTTCAAATTTATTCAAATTAACAATTTGTGTAAATTTTTTTTGAAACATTCAATTCAAATTGGATTAATTATGAAATTTTGATATTGAGTTGGGGCAACTATTTGTCTGGTGGGAGATCAATGAATTTTCCGAATAAAAACTATTAACTGCAGGGTGTCCAAATTGTACGGATTGAATGGATTGTACAGACTTTTTTATTTTTATTAACAAATTGTACGGATTGGATGTTTATTGTCTCCAACTGTCCGGATTTTCAGGATTCCGATTTTAAGCCCGGAAAACATATATTTTTTTTTTGATTTTGACTCAACAAAAGCTAATTTTTGCATGAAAATTGTGAATGAAAAAAAAGTCTCGACAAAATTAAGTGCAGCTTATTATCTTCATTCCGAATTATAAATGGTTGATTAATATTTTTATTGACAATTAAAATTCATTCTTTCATCTTTTAGAGAATTTTTTCCAGAAATACATGATGTTCCACAAAAAAAACTTTGCATTTGGGGATATTTGGAACTGAGGGAACAATTTTTGTAATTTTCACAATCAAGGTGTCATTGAAACCTTAAAAACTTTAGTTACTTCCAGACGTAAATTTTTTCTTTCAATTTTTTGGATTTTGGGTTATTATCGATTATCCAAAATTTAAGCTTAAATGAAACCTCTGATTATTAGTTTTTTAATTAAAAAAATTGGTTAAATTTTTTCATAATTTAAGAGCAATTGAAAATAAAACGTGAAAAATTAAAAACTTGAAATCACTCAAATATACTCAAAGAAATAATTGTAACATCAAATTGTGAGGCCCAGAAAGAAGAGTGCATACTTAAAGGGAGTGTTCGCGAAAAATGAAAGGGGGTATAGGCTTAATGCGATAAAAAAGCGCTTTTGATCGCTACTAATCTTACTTCTATCTTTTGTGTCTATAAGGATAAAATTGATAAAGACGTCTCATACCGAAGAGCGTAGCGCCCATACAAATTGAGGAAGTTGGAACATACGACTTAGACCGTAAAAAAATCAAATTAATATCAAACATTATAAAATTTCTTTATTTTTAATAATTAAAATTCAGATATATCTGAAGTTGATCAATTACCGGAAAAAAGTACAAAGAGTCGGACTTTAAAAAGTTAAAACCAACCAATGCTGGTCTTCTTGTCAAGTTATACACGTCCCAATAAACATGGGAATTAATTATTCGTCATCATTTACTTGTACATTTTTAAGCTTTCCGAAATGTGGTCTGCCTTCGTTGAGGTCGTCACTTGATTTCCATGTTTATTGGGCTCTAGAGTGTCAAGTGTTCATAAACAAAAGATTTCATAAATATAATCCTAACTTTAAATCTTATCAAATTTTAAGGTCAAGGATTACTGAATTAATACATAGGGTTATTCATTATTTCTAAATAATGAGTTTTAAGCCTAGACAAATAAGGAAACTCATCCCAATTCAGAAAATAAAAAGAATAGCTTACATAATAATTATAAAGCAATGTCTTTGCTCGTATACGAACACAAAGAAAAATTAATGTTAATAGAAATGAGAAATTAATTGTCAAGATTTTTATGTTTTTTTGATTTTGAATGTTTTTTGTTTGCACGGATTTTTTCCTTATATGTACAGATTGTACAGATTTTTCAAAAAAAATGTAGAGACTGGACAGATTTTATGTACAGATTTATTGATTCGTTTTCATCATAAATGTACGGATTTTTCTTAAAGTTTTGGCCACCCTGCATGTGGGCAATATTCAGCAGTTTGAGGCCTTACTCCAATTACCCACAATGACATGTTTCTTCGAAATAAAAAATCGACATTTTAAAGTGATTTTTGATTTTTGTAAGTGCTTGCTCTGGCCATTTAAAAAAGTCTAAATTGGAAGTAAATTGGAAGTTTTTGTTGTTGTTTGAATGTTTTTTTTGCTGTTGTTTTTTTGTATACATTTTCCACATTGTCCCTGGGTTAGTTCACATTAAATTCTGTGCATTTATTGCAAAAACTAAAGAATCTGTTAATCGTGCCTATCCCAAGTTAAATTTTAATAATTTTTCATCCAATATGTTCTTCTATACTGCACAAGGCTTCGGCAAAAGCGACAAACAAAAACAATTATGCCTCTTTATTTTCCCCATTCCCTAGTTAGAATAGAAAAAAGCTTCAAGAAAGGTATTACAGAAAATGTAAAAAGAGCCAAAATTGTAGTAACAGTTTAAGTATTATTTGTCCTTTTTTGATAGATCATTTTTTGGCTTCAGCCTAGAAATATAGACATGTGGTCACCTTCAGTTTATCTATATGGATAAGAAGTCATGGACCTTCATTTTGAAGTTTGACTTTTAGCACCTTTTTCTGGGCTTCAATGTCAGTGACCTCTGAATCCAATAAAAAATTTATTTATAGATGACAAAAAAGGCCATATGAATAATTATACTTCACTTATCTAAGATTTTAGGACTTAACAAAGTAAAATTGTCTTGTTGGATGCATCTTGAAATTGAACATATTTAGTTTTTTTGCTGTTAATTTATAAAAATTATAAACATTGTTTTAAGTCATTAAATGGTCAATTTGATTAATTTAAAATCATATCATTTAATATTTAGGATCTATAATCCCTGATAGCTTTGCACGATCCATGGATGTTCATGAAGTTTATCGAGATCCTCCTCCATTACCGCTACAGGATGCAGTTGTGTCTGATGTAGCTCTTCCTACATCACCACCACAACAGGATGCAGTTATGTCTAATAAAGCTCTACCTCCATTACCTCAACAGGATGCAATTACGTCTGATTTATCTCTTCCTCCATTACCACCCCAACAGGATGCATTTATGTCTGATGTTCCTCCAGTACCACCACAACAGGATGCAGTTATGCCTGATGTAGCTCTTCCTCTATTAAAGCCACAACAGGATGCAGTTATGCCTGATGTATCTCTTCCTTCAATACCACCACAACAGGATGCAGTTATGTCTGATGTAGCTTTTCCTCTATTAATGCCACAACAGGATGCATTTATGCCTGATGTACTTCTTCCTCCAGTACCACCACAACAGGATGCAGTTTTGTCTGATGTAGGTCTTCCTCCATTGCCACCTCAACAGGATGCAGTCATGTCTGATGTAGCTCTTCCTCTATTAATGCCACAACAGGATGCATTTATGCCTGATGTACTTCTTCCTCCAGTACTACCACAACAGGATGCAGTTTTATCTGATGTAGCTCTTCCTCCATTACCACCTCAACAGAATGCAGTTATGCATGATGTATCTCTTCCTCCAGTACCACCACAACAGGATGCAGTTTTATCTGATTTAGCTCTTCCTCCATTACCACCACAACAGGATGCAGTTTTATCTGATGTAGCTCTTCCTCTATTAACACCACAACAGGATGCATTTATGCCTGATGTATCTCTTCCTTCAATACCACCACAACAGGATGCACTTTTGTCTGATGTAGCTCTTCCTCTATTAACACCACAACAGGATGCAGTTTTGTCTGATGTATCTCTTCCACCAGTACCACCACAACAGGATGCACTTTTGTCTGATGTAGCTCTTCCTCCATTAAGCTTAACAAATCCCTCTGATACTATAATTAATAATTTAGCATCCAATAAAATTCTACTTTCCCCCAAATCTTCTGTAATTCTGGTAGCTGCTGATGTAGCATTAACAGCTTCAGAATCAACCATTGAAGTTGTATCAGTGGTGAACTTACCTATTTCTGAACCAACTATTGAAACTGATTTTGATACAACCTTTGATACAACCTTAAGAATTAGCCCTGGTACTAATATTGAGACTGAATCTGATACAACCTGGGAAACAAACTCTGACACTACTCCAGAAACTGAAATTAATACAAACCTGGATGGAACTGAATCTGATACAGCATCTACAACTGAATCCTCAGATTCACTGAATGCTTTTACAACTACTAGTAAGGAAAGATCTTCTTTGGTATATGTACATATTCATACATCTTCATCACCTATATCAAATTTAGAAACTGAAGTTCAGACAAGTACCAAATCATTAAAAGAGAACACCACATTAGCTGAAATTACAACAGATTCAGAAAGTTTGAAACTAATAGCAGCTGAGTCAATAACTGAAACTTCAACACCAGATTTATTCAGTGAGACGCCATTAACTGCCAACTCTGAAACTAAAACCACTGAAACTTTAACAACCTCTGATTTGGCAACTGGGTCTTACACTAAAACTGATTTGGCATCTGAAACTACAGCAACTTATTCTACAACTGATGCTTCTTCAGTTTTGGATTCAGTAACTGAGGCTTCAATAACTATTGATTCAGAAACTGAGGCTTCAATAACTATTGATTCAGAAACTGAAGAGTTTCCAACCACTGATTCAGTAAATAAAGATTTAACAACACTTGAGTCAGAAACCGAAAGGTTATTAACCCCTTCAGAATTGGAAGCTTTCACAATCCTTGTTTCAGCTACAAAACATACAAAAACCACTGGTTCAGAAATTGAAACCTCAACATCAACTGAAGCTACTAGAACCATAGATTTACCAACTGATGCCACTAGAATCATAGATATACCAACTGATGCTACAGCAGCCACTGATTTGGCCACTGGAGGCGATGAGGGCACTGATTTTACTTTCACAGATGTGACTTCAACAGATGAATCATCAGCTACTGATTCGGTGATAGTTTCAACATCCACAGATTTCACATCTAATGCTACAAGAGCTATTGATTCAGCAACTATAGCTCCAACAGCCACTGATTTATTTACCTTGGCTACAGAAACCTCTGGCTTAGTAACCATGGTTACAGAAACTTCTGATATAGCAACCAAGGCTGCAGAAACTACTGATTCTATTAGCAAAGCCACTTATTCAGAAATTATAGCTACATCAACCACTTTTTCAGCAGCTGAGGTTGCAGCAGCCACTGATGCTTCATCGTTGACTGATTTAGCAACTGAGGGTAAAGTAGCAACAGATTCAGATGCTGAATATAAAGCTGTCACTGATTCAGCAACTGAAGAGACAGCAGCCACTGATTCAGCAACTGAGGAAACAGCAGCCACTGATTCACCAGCTGAGGATATAGCCACCACTGATTCAGCAACTGAGGATACTGTTTCCACTGAATTAGCAACCTTTGGCACATCAACAACTGAGGATACAGCAACCACTGATTTGGCAACTGGAGGCACTGTGTGGACTGACTTAACCTCCACAGATGCAGCACTTAAAACTACATCCACATCATGGTTTGGAATTAAAGGTTCAACAACCACCCATTCTACATCTACTTATATGAGAGCTAAAGATTCAATAATTAAAGCTACCAAGGCCACAGAAATCTATGATTTAGCAGCCAAGGTTACTGGAAGCACTGATTCTGCAGCTGAATTTTCAGCAATTATTGTCTCCTCTAGCGAATCTGCAACAGCTACTGATGCTGAAATTAAAGATTCATCAACCACATTTTCAGTAACTAATGCTGAAGCAGCCACTGATTTAACATCTGATGCATTAACAACTACTGATCCAGCAACCAAGGATAAAGCAGCAACTGATGATTCTGCAGTCACTGATTTGGCAACTGTAGATAATTCAGTAACTAGAGGCACAGAAGGGACTGATTTTACTCCCAAAGCTACATCAGACAGTGATTTGGCATATGAAGCTACAACAACCAGAGATTTTAAACCTGACGCCATGAAAACTAATGACTCGGTAACTGTAGCTCTTGCTGCAACTGAAACTGTTGCTCCGGCAGATACTGATACAGCAACTAACGTTTCACAAACCACTGATTCTGGAGGAGAAATTTCAGCAGTTCTTGCTACTACTAGAAAAGCTACAACAGTCACTGATGCAGCAATTGAAGCTTTTTCAGCAGCTGATACTGCAGTAGCCACTGATTTGGCAACTGATGCTCTATCAGCAATTGATTCAGGAACTGAGAATACAGCAGCAACTGATATAACAACTGAGAATACAGAAGCCACTGATTCATCAACGAGGGATTCTATACCTGAAGATATGACCACTAATGATCCAGTATCTGTTGATCCAGCAGTCACTGATTCAGTAACTTTAGCTCTAGGAGCAATGAATATAGCTACTAAGGCTTCAGAAACCACTGATTTAGTATCTAATCTTTCAGTAGTTACTAATCCTTCCGTTAAATCTACAGTAGTCACTGGTGCAGCAATTGAAGCTACAGCAACCACTGCTCCAGAAGCTGATGATACAAAAGATATTAAATTTGCAACTGAAAACACTGATTTTACTTTTAAATCTAGAGCAGCCAAAGATGCAGTATTTGAAGCTACATCAACCACTGGCCCAGCAGCTGATGCTACAGCAGCCACTAATTTAGCAGTGGATGATACAGAAGCCACTGATTTATCAACAAGAGGCAGTGTTGGCACTGATTCCACTTCTGAAGATATAGCAGCTTCAACTGCTGATTCTGCAATAATGGTTGCTGAAGCCACTAATTTGCCTAATCTAGGTCCTTTGATACCTCACTCTACTTCTATCACCACAGCAGCTATTGAAGCTAAAGCAGCTGATTCAGCAACTGTGGTTACAGCAGCCACTGATTTAGTAAATGGGGATCTTCTAGTTAATGCAGGAACAGAAGTTCCTTTAGGCACTTATTCAATAGCTAAGGCCGCTCAATCAACAACATATGTACCTACAAATAACCACAATTCTGGTGCTGATCCAGTAACTGAAGCTTCTACAATCTTTGATTTAAAAAGTGAAGCTTCAGCAACTACAACATCTTTTGTTGAAGTTTTGACAAGCACAGAGTCAACAATTAAAGAAACAGCTAATGTAGGTACTAAAGGCTCAATATCCACAAACTCAGTCTCAACTCTTGCTTCAGAACTCAGTGGATCAGAAACAACAACACTCAGTCAAGCTCTGACATCAACAGATTCTATGACTGTAGTCCCAACAGTTTTTCTATATCCTGAAACTACTCCTCCAATTCCTTCAACCATTGCACAAACAAATAGTCCAACCTCCACTGATGTTATGTCAACAACAACTCTTGGCACAACATCTAGCCCATCTTTCCCATTATTGATATCAACAACTCTTGGAAAACCATCACATGAACCTTCCACTACTGTAAAATCAACAACAACATTAGCCCCAACAACTAATGAAACAGCTAATGTAGGTACTAAAGGCTCAATATCCACAAACTCAGTCTCAACTCTTGCTTCAAAACTCAGTGGATCAGAAACAATGGGAAAGTTAAGTATAGGGTAAGAAAGTCCCAGTTTGTTTTTCTTCTAAAGCTTCTTCGAATTCTCGAAAGCAAATTCTGAATGTCCTTGTTTTCTTTTTACTTTTCAGTTTTTGATTTATGAACTTTTTAGAAGTGAGTGATTCCATCGAAATCTTATTCTTAACTTTTTAGTTTGCTTTTGGATAGATTCTGTGAAAAATTATTTTATTATTTTAGACCCTGCTGGCGTTCCTGACTTGAAGATTGATATGACTAAGGCTAAAAAGATAATGAAAAGTATGGAAGAAGGAACAGATAATTTACTGAACCTGTTGGAGGAAGAACTAGAGAAGATCCAGGACTCTGTCTTCAACTCCCTAGAGACTTGCTTCACATCCATTCACTCACTTATAGAGGAGTCAATACTAGACCTTAACTTTATCCTTGAGACAGAAGACTACAATCAGTTTAAAGCCGAAGTTGATATTTTTATACCAGAAATAGAGCAGTATCTCTTCAACACTAAGGAGTCCTGTAATCTTGCTGTTGAGCCCCTGTACCTGGAGAAGATTGAACTGCTGAAGCAGGCCGGGGAGCAGCTGGAGCAGGTCAGAAACTCAGGAGAACTCTTTTTCAGTTGCAAAAGTTTAAACCTAGAACTTGAGCACAATCAAGCCCAATTAGAAGCTCTACTCACTTTTATATCAACTCGGTATAATAATACAAAAGCTCATGCATTGGAAATGATAGAACTTACCTTCAGGAATATTGAGCATGCGCAGTCAAAACTTCATACCAACCTTTCGTCGCAGCTTTGGATTGATGAGGATAGGTGCTAAAGGCTCAATATCCACAAACTCAGTCTCAACTCTTGCTTCAAAACTCAGTGGATCAGAAACAATAACACTCAGTCAAGCTCTGACGTCAACAGATTCTATGACTGTAGTCCCAACAGTTTTTCTAAATCATAAAACTACTTCTGCAATTCCTTCAACCATTGCACAAACAAATAGTCCAACCTCCACTGATGTTATATCAACAACAACTCTTGGCACAACATCTAGCCCAGCTTCCCCATTAGTAATTTCAACAACTCTTGGCACACCATCTCATGAACCTTCCACCACTGTAAGATCAACAACAACATTAGCCCCAACAACTACTCTGGCTAGAATCCTTGAACTTTCCCCCACTATGAGAAAGAAAGTGGAATACTTAACCTCAACTTCAGAAGCTTCTTATAAGTTCTCAGAAGTATCAACTGGACCATCTTCAGGAATGAAAGCATTTGATGTAAATGAAACACAATCCTCAGGTAAACATGTCTTTATGTTCTGGAGATGTTCTTAGGAGTATATGTTTCCTTAAAGACCCCCCTATTCTTTGTTTTCCAATGGCTCCGTAGTGGATACGAAAAGGTTTGAGGAGAAGGTTTTGTTGTCCTTGAACGAGGTAGAGGAGACAGGAGACAAGGTTCTCAACTCCTTCAAGGAGCAGTGTCAGAGGTTGGAGGAGGAAGAGGTGATGGAGAAACCGGTTTTCTCTGTTGATACAGGTCACTTCTTTATTTTTAGTATCTTGCTGTTTTGATTTAACTTATTTGATTTTTATTTTACAATGAAAGTTCGATCAGAGAAAAGATATTTTGAATGGCCAGTAATTAAATAAACTTGTAGTTTCTAAAGTTAACAGCTGAGGCATCTGATTACTTGATAATGTAAATTTTATCTAGTAAGAAATAAAAAAAAATTCAAGGAAATGTTCAGAATTTGCACAAAATTATTGTTTTCCTTAATATATAGATAAAAAAAATAAATTAACTGTAAAATTGATAACATATTTTTCACTGACCCTTCTTGTTGTAAAATTTTGAAATTAAAAAACCCTCAAATTACTTCACCTAAGAATAGATTTTTTTTTTCACTTGAAATTAGACAAATGTCGTTTTCTTTGCCGTAGCCCATAATCGTTCAGGTAGTGAATTGAAGGCTAGGTATATTCTCGATTTGAATCAATTCAGAGACTTAAGCAATATTTTAAGTGACCCTCCATTTATGTTCAATACACATTACACATTGGTAGGGTTCCCTTGAAAGCTTTGTCTAAGAAAAATTAATGACTTATCCCTTTCTTGCTACAAATTGATCATTATCAATTGAAGTTATAGTATAAAAGGGACTTGTAGGTTTCTTGCTCCAAATACAATGGAAAAAGTTGTGAGTATTTATCACTTCAAGCAATAAAAAACGACGATATCTTCCATATTTTTGATCAGATAAATTTTTAAAGACTGTTTTCATAAACATGTATATTGTACATACCCTATTTTCCAGTTGGCAGTAATAAGACTGGAGCTATGGTTAAAAAGCAGATGAAGGATGGATTGACCAGCATGTACAATAACCTGGAGGCCGATATTAAGGAGTTGGAGAATATTGTAGTTTCAACCCAGCTGAACTGCTTTCACACTCTTGAGTATAGTCTTAGGCCAGAGTTAGATCATCTCCGATCCGTCCTCGGACAATCTTCAGGATTTCAGCTAGAGATGGGAAGAGAAGAGGCTCGGGAGAGAATGCTTCAGGTAAATACAGTAATTAAAGCAGTAAAATGGTTTCTTAACTGCTCAGATTTTTGGACTTCTTATTGCAAGAAATGGTATTTTTACTTTTTTTTGTGACTATCTCTAAGCAACAAATATTTTTTTCAGTTATCAATTTCATAACTGAAGCCCCTTTTTAATGAAAGCTCATTGTATTACTGGATAATTATTTTAAAAATAGATGTAAAAATCTTCTAGATCTAACTGTTAATTTTAGAGAACTAAACTGCTCTTTCCTTTAGGTTGCAGGAAGACACAAGGAGATGTGTAACTCTGCTTTGGACTCCGTATTCCAGAATATCATTGGACTGCTTAACTTAGTAGATCAAGGGGTCGACAAATTCAAGGTATAGTGAAGTGTTTATAAATACAAGTTTTTTTCTTTTATAACCAATGGCTTTTTAATAAAGAACATATTTAATCTTGGTAGCTAACTAACATAAACTTTCTGGAATTTTTAAACTTTTATTTAATTTAAAGGGTTCGGGGGAATATCTGGAGCTCTGTAGCTCCTTGTTCCTCAGCCTGGAAAACAACCAAGAGCACGTCCAGGAGATCCTGGAGTTCACTCACAACTCATACACGTCCTGGAAAACGGATATTATTCAAAAGATTTATTTATCTCTTGCATCCGTTGGAAAATTGAATCTGGAGCGAAAAACCGAACTTAAATCTATGCTTCTTAATTTGGAGTCCACGACTCTACAGGAGATCTCACCTCAGCATCATCAGTTTCTTCTGGGATGCTTTAATAGCCTAGGCAGTATTCTCAACTCTGGAAACTTGTCTGATCCTGATCCTTACCAGAAGGTTATCTTGGATATTGTTGAGAGCCTTGGAGAGAAGGCTGATCATGCTCGGGATCTTCTACATGAATGTATTCTACAGAAACTCAAGTTTGATAACTACACTAAAGATGAACTTGAACCTGTCACTGTGCCTATGATTGAGGATCTTATGATCGAGGATTCTATGATTCAAGAGCCATTAATTGACGACACTAACTTTGATAATGCTAAGATGGATGAACAAGACCCATCAATGAAACTCCCGTCTTACAAGTTTAGACCCCTTCCAGGGCCTTTCATTGATGTTGACGGTTCGAATTCTCCAGGTTAGTTTAGACTAATGCTAGTTCTCTAGTTTAGATTTTATATTCATGTTTACACATGGATATTGAAGTTTAGACCCATGTTTAATGCGTGTTCGTTTTGTCAATTTAGACATATTGCATTTCTGTCGTTTTAGATGAGGTCCTATAACTGTTAAAAGGTGATGTTGAAAATTAAGACGACATTTAAGATTAACTTCTTAAAAATATTTTAGATTTTTGTTATAACTTTGAAATATAAAATTTTGTAGCAAAAATGTTTACAAAATGTACAATTTTACACAAATTGTCAACAAGTTCAAATGTACTTAATCATATGTCAAAATTATAACAGTTACATGCAGATTTCATTGGAAGTGAAAAACAATTTATAAAAGGCATTTTTTTTCCATTTTTTATTTGGGGGGGGGAGGGGTTATAATATTTGGTTTTATCAATACTTGGTTCAGGTATCATTTAATTTACCAAAACCATGAGATGCAATTATCTGGTGCTATGTAAATCTGGTTATCTGATGCTATTGTGGACCAGTAACCTTTCGTATAGTACATTTTCGTATATTAACATTTTGTATAGGTAACATTTTGTATAGGTAACATTTCGTATAGGTAACATTTCGTATAGGTAACATTTTGTATAGGTAACATCCATAGTAATTTTTCGTATAAATGTAAAAATTAAAGAACGTCGAGATATTTTTGTAAGAAAATCATGAATATTTCACTAAGAAAACTGCGAACCATTTAAAGAAAATCCGCAAAATTACAAAAACCTCAACCATGTCTCTGATATGACTGACTAAGTCTACTCGTGGAAAGGATGCAATAATCGATAACAACTATCATAAATATACCTTTAATAGTACTGGAAAAAATGTTAACTATTGGTTGCCAATTTCACTTTCGTGCAGCAATATGGAATCAGATCAAAGACAAGGGTCTTCAAAGTTTCTTTTGTCAGAATGCCAAGTTTCAGGAGATTCTGTACAAAATGTATGCCTTGTCATATGTTCCTGTTGAACAAGTGATCAGGTTCTATGAAGAACAAATATTGACCTCTGTGGAGAACAACCTAGATGAGGAGGTTGGGGATGAAGAATGGTTGGAAGTTTCCCAGGAACTAGAAGTGTTTGGAGACTACTTCACCAGAACCTGGATATGAAATAAGTCTACAACCAGGAGTGGAAATAAGAGTCGTCGGCGGCCATTGTTTGCAATAAAATCGTGGAATCAATGGTCAACTGTTTCTGCAGATGGAACAGCCACAAACAACAGCCTCGAGTGTTTTAATCGAGTTTGGAATAGTCAGGTTGGTCCGCATCCAAATGTTTGGAAAGTAATAGATGCCTTTATCAAGACAGAGTCAGAGTCTAGAAGAATCCTGTTTTCAAATGCAACTGGACAGGATCTGCATCAAAATACAGGAAGGAAGGAGAGAACTATGGCCAATCATCAACGTCTTAAGTTACTTGCTGAACAGTTTGGCGTTCTACCTGACAAAGAATATCTGCAGCTGGTGGCTCATGAACTTCAAAAATCTGATAATTAATTAAACTGTAAAAAAATGAACATGTAACATTAAATATGAATACAAAAATAGCTGATATTTGGTGTTTCATTTTTCATCTTTATTTTTACATTTATACGAAAAATTACCCTAAGTGTTACCTATACGAAATGTTATCTATACCAAATGTTATCTAGACGAAATGTAACCTATACGAAATGTTACCTATACAAAGTGTACTATACGAGATGTTACCTATACAAAATGTTACTATACGAAAATGTACTATACAAAATGTTACTGATCCCTAATGGTTGAATGGACTTACTCTCATTTATAATAGTTTGGAAATAAATGTTCAGGTGCAAATTTGAAGTGTGTATATTTGGAAATTTTAATATTTTGTTCAGCATCGATAATTATATCTCGTATATGATACCTTACTTATATTCACTTGGTACTGAAAGTACAATGTAAGACATCTCTTTATAATAAACCCTGTTTTTTCTAGTTGAAAATGTGACAGTTCGTCTCAAGTTTGACGTCGATGAACCTTGGCTTCAAGTTTATGAAAACCAAAATTCAGCTTCATGGAATCTTCTCCGAGCAAGAATACAGAACCAGGTACATATTGATAATTGTTTTTCTTTAAAGAACTCCTAAAATGTCGTCTTAATCCAAGTTTAGTTCAGAAATTTATGTGATTTGTTTTTACAAACCCTTGTATCAGAGTCACCAGAGGCATCTTATGGGGGGGGGATACCTTTTGGTCACCATGTATTACATTTGAAGCCATAATCAGGTTTGTTGATGTTTATATTAGATTAGGTAGTGTTTTAAAGCGTTGCTATACTCGTAACGGTTTTTTTGTGAAGTACAATTTTCTGCTCAAACGCCCAGTTGAATCTGTATATATATCTCAAATAAATTTACTTTTTTTAGACTTGTTTGTATCGGTAATTAATTATAAACGCCGTTGTGTCTTATGTTTAGACAAACAAATTCCGCCGAAAATGGAAATTATTAAGTAGATTTGGAATTTTATCTTTTACAAATGTCGAAGGCAAGGTTATAATGCAAGGAAAGTTATTTCATCTTTTGTACTGCAGTGTACTGTCTCTGGGCGGTAATGTAAACACAAGACGGATGTCACAGTCTGACATGGGATCCATCTTTTACATAAAAAATCTTTTAATTATTATTCTGGTCATAGGAAACTATCATGTGTATTATCAAAATTTTCAAAAAACTGGTTTCAATATGTACGCAGAGAATACGCAACTGCAATTACCTTTCTTTGCATTGGAACCTTGGTCGATAGTAACAAAAAACTGATTATTTAATCAAAATGTCGATTTAATTATTGTATTTTGTTTTTTAGGTTCTTTCCCGCTTAAGTGGTGAAAACAGTGAAGTAGAGATTAAGTTGAACAAGATAATCTTCAATAATGTGTAAGATAGTTTAATCATTACCGTCAAATACTAAAGAAATTAATAATCTTAATTAAGTTAAAAATCAGAAAGAATCGAGAATATTTTGTTATGTTTTCTAACTCCATCTCTTAACCATCTTCTTCTTTCCTTCAAATCTAAATTTCGAATTGGTTTGCGTCATAAAAAATGTTTAAATTTTGTTGAGAAAAAAAATGTTAAGCCTTTATTATACTACAGCAATTCATAAATTTGTCTCAACCTTTCTAAACTCATTTAGAGTAACAAGAAGCATTATTTGGATTTTAAAATTTTTAAGTTCTTTTTTAAAACGTCATATTTTTATAGGACCGATAATTTTGATAGTCCAGAATCTCGAAGTTTATCTGTTGATATGATTGCTAGAATTAGGTAAATCCAATCAGTCGGAACAAATAATTATCCGGAGATGGAATTTAAAGAATTTGAACCGCGGTTTAAATCTGCCAAAACCCGGTTTAAATTAAGCGCCGGCTTAAATCTTGAAACATTTGATACAATTTTAAGTGGAACCAACCATATTTAAGCCGCGGCTTAAATTTAAACCGCCGCTCAAATTCTTTAAATTCGGCCACTT